CATTAGCACCTCTAGTAATATATTTACTGAGAAAAATGTTGACGTGTTCAATACTTATTTTACCAGCTGTAAAAGCAGTTTGTGTTGAAATGTTGACAGCAGCTCTCGTCTCCCAGCTGCTGCAGTTCTTCTAACAGACTGTGAGCAGAACCCATAATAAAACGTTCCCGGACTCTGGGTGGAGGCTCCCAGCCGGCTGATGTTTAACAGATGTTTAACCTCCTGCTGCTGTAAACCTCACGTCTGCAAGCTGACGGTGCCGGAACAGCTCAAGACCTGGACCCCACCCAGGTAGAACCGGGTGACCTGTTCCATAAAACGAGAGCTCGGAGGAGTTCCTGCTCATCACTGTGAGAGGAAGAGTCTCCAAAGCCCCTCTGGGAGCCACTTTACTAAACGTCTACAGAGGTTTTAAATAAAAACATATAAAATGTGTCAGAACCGTCAGAGATCCAGGGTTCAGGGTCTTACTCTTTGGCGCGCTCCCGTCCTCGCTCCACCAGAGTGTGTGTCGCCGCTGCCTTCATCAGCAGGTAGTCCCGGTCGTGGTCCGGCAGGAAGATGTATCGGGTTTCCTGTGGGAGTAGCAGAACGCCATGAGAGCGCAGCTTTGTTTCAGCCGGTGGGGCGGGGGGACGGAYGGACGGGCGGTCTCTGTCCTCACCGGAGACACTGGCGGGCCTTGGTACCCTGCGCCCGCGTAGCTCCTCATGGAGTTCATCAGGGTGTTTGTGGAGAAGGTGTAGTGGGTGGTCCGAGACCCCACATCCTCCTCGAAGCCTTTAATGACGGCTCCGTTGGTCCTGAGGATTCGAACAAACTTGTTACATTATAGAAACACCTGATTGGATGTSAAATTATACAAAAAGCTGCAGTTTTTTTCCGTTTTCATAAGGAAAATGTCTGCAGCTAGTGAGACGTTTGTGCTTAAAAAGGTTTTCCTCTTGCAGGACCGGATCAGAACCGGACCAGAACCTTGCCTGAAGACGTAGTGGTGGCCGTCGATCTCCTTCCCTTTCTTGGAGCCCTTCAGGATCCCCCCGTTTCCCACCACGGCGCAGCGGCTGCAGTCCGACCCGTTCCTCTGAGAYGCCCAGTCGTCCAACATCTGCCAGTTGGCCGAGGAGTTGAGGACGGACAGAGTTTCCACCAGAGCTGGAGGGGACAAAAAAAAAATTTATCTGGGTGGGACTTTTTATTTGTTGCATCACTCAGATGTTTGCGAGCATCCGCCCACAAATTAACGTGTCTGTGGTTCAACATCATAACTAAAAATTATTAAAACATCTGGTTTCAGAGAAATCCCACAGAACCACATTCCCATAAACACGTCAACATTCTGGGTTTGAGAAATTCTGATGAACGTATTTAACTGAGTCGCAACAAAAATAAATTATATTTTAWATAAAAACAGCAAAGAAACTGCTTTACTGAAGTTGAGCAAAAGTAGCTAAAGGTTAGCTAAAGGCTAAAAGCAGAACATAAAAAAACAGAAATTTGAGAAATTTGTGGAAAATCTGTAAAAAAWTTTTTTGAATAAAAACACTGCTTCCTGTTTTATTCTACTTTTCCAGATCGGAGATCTGAAATGACCCTTTTATGAGAAGTGAACCATCAGTGAAGTWTGGGATAAATCTTGTTCCAGCAGGAATCTGAATCTGAATTGCTCAGATTGAATCTGAATGTGCATAATTTGAAATTGAATGTTTGAAAATGAATTTCACTAAATTGAAACTAGGCGGCACGGTGGCTCAGTTGGTAGAGCTGATGCCTCTCAGCAAGAAGGTCACCGGTTCAAATCCCGGTCCGGGGACCTTTCTGG